ATACTGTATACGCGTGCCAAACTGTGAGATATAAAAGCCGATCGGAGGCTACCGACAAAACACAGGACTCAAGTTTGGGGGGGGGGGGTGGGGGGGACTAAACCCTCTCATTTTACGATGCTTATTTTTTATTTAACTACCTGGGTTGTTCAAACATGCAAAAAAACCAACACATTGCTCATTTCTGTCTGACCGTAGTCACAAAACTAAAGACATTCAATTTACAACGATGTACAACTGTGAAAGGCAGAAATATAGTTCAACAATTTGATTCATTGTTATTAATTGTGATCAGCACTGATCAAGTCCACCTGACATTCTTTAGCTCTAACGTGAGTTTGTCTGTAATTATAGTAGGATCAAGCTTATTTGTAGCCTAAATATGGTTGTTATTGTAACTTTATAGCAGATTTTGACTTGTGGCCCTTTGGAGTCAACATGAGATGTACATTCGTTTAGATTGTAGGTTGCAAAAGGATTTAAAACGACTCTTCGCTATGTTGGATCTCTGGAGACACTTTCGATAAACTTTAAAGTAGTTCAGCTGATAAATTTACAGACTGGATATAATCATCATCTCGAGAGGAATATGACATTTACTCGCTTGGAGCTCCTCAGTGACCAAGTACTAAAAATACCAAATACTGTGAGTGGACGTTGAGTACTAGCAGTACTCAACGCACGACCTGTAAATGTGTTACCAAACAAAAACACACACGCACAAATATAAACTGTTGAACACAGCACTTCAGAGTCGGCCCGAAAAGGTTTGGATGAGCAAGGTCGGAGATGAAGGGGGAGAGGAGGCAGAGGAGGGAGAGGAGGGGTTCCTTTTCACCCACAAATTCAAGGATCATTTGCGGTTTGCCATTCAAGCTCTTGTTCCAGCCTCCTCCCTCCCTCCCTCCCTCCCTCCCTCCCCTCTTCAGCCATGTGGGCTGAAAAGAAATACGGCCGCGTTAAGAGGGGCAGCGTGTGTGTGTGTTTGATAGATTGTGAGCAGATTGGACAATAGGAGGATTGTACGTGATCTATATTCATGTGGCACAGATTCCGAGGCCAGCAGGTTGGGGGAGACCAGACACGGGAGGAAGGGGTTGATAAAGCTGACAGATTGTCTTCGCTTTACTTTGCATGCAGGTGGAAGCTGCATCCTCCCGAGAACAGCCAACTCCACCCGTTTCCTTTATTTTCAAGAGAGCCCGAGGTTCTCCTGTAGTTTAATCAGATGCATAGGTGCATTCCCCAGACGCGTCTGCCGTAGCGGCGAGAGTCGAGTGGGGATGCGCAGATAGCGCCCGCCGCGCACAGCAGAAAGTGAGGCGAAGCGACTGGCGTTCACGGCGAAGCCGCACGAGTTGAGCTGTTGGTTTTAATGAAGCGAGTTTCACTTTGGGCTCCACCTCCAGTCCCGCAGAGAGGAGGAGGACGTGAAGGCGTAAAGGCGACCGAGGATGAGAAATGAAGGGAGAGGCAGCCAGAACTCCTTGGTAACCAAAGCACTGGGGAACAGGGGGGGGCGCTCCAACACCCCTCCTGCTGTGCGTGTGCATTTGTGTGTTTGTGTGCGTCTCCGAAAGACTGGACTGCCTGAGGGGGAAGCAGCGGTTGTGGTGGTGGTTGTGGGAGTGGCGGTCCCAGCGTGTGTGTGTGTGTGTGTGTGTGTGTGTGTGTTTAGAGAGACAGCGATAGGGGTAGAGGCTCATTGTCAGCGTAGTGGACGCTCACACACACACACACAGACACTGTCAGTGAAGCCGCCGCGGAGTGAGAATGTGAGCCGACACCAGCGCTTGTTCACAGGATTCGGATTTTTCTTTTCTTAGTGCCTTTTTTTTAAGAGAGAGACCGGCTCCCAATCGGAATTATGGTGTTTATCGGGACCTCGTTAAAATCTCTGATTAAGTACTTCAAAAGGAAGGGTAAGATATATTTACTTGTACTCTCTATTGATCATTAATATATATCAGTACTACTTTCCATGAACAGTACAGCAAATGCTGTAGTTTTCAAATTGTATTTGCACCATTATTTGTGTCTGGATTTCTATTTCTTGTGACTAATTATCAAAAACCATTTTCATAGTTTTTTTGTTTTTCCAAGCTGTTTTGTATCAAATTTTTCCACATGGCAGCTTCAATTAATTGCACATCATTTTTAATACAAACTGACGTTTTTCTGTGAGCATGTTGCTTCACTGCTGCCTCTGAGCGCAGTGACAACCCTCTGTTGCCCCCCCCCATCGTTACCAGGTAACCACTGAGCCAGGACTTCACAGAGCCGACAACTAATGGCACTAAATGACCCAACAGCGTTCTGTTGTTGTGGCAGCTGGAAGCATTTGAAATCACAGCTTCTACATTTGAAAACAATTGGCCCTTTTTCTTTCTTCTCAGGGCAATTTAGGGGTTGTTACTGTTTATTTAGTTCTAAATGTTGCCGATAATGTGATGTATATAAGGAACCCATCCTGGGACTTCATGCCATGCATATTATGTTGTTGATGGCTGTGTATCGAGCATGTGAGCACGTTAAACAAGGACCCGGTTGATGCGGGGCAAGCTGCTTGTGCCGACTCTAATCTCAGGTGTATTTATAGCGTGCGTTTCGGTCAAGGCTGAGCTGCTATTGTTAATGATTGGCTCAGCGGTTTTTGGTAGGTTCCATGTCTTATCTTGCACAAACCTCGCACATGCCTGCACTTTGCTCCCCGGTCACCCACTGCTTATATTCTTAACTTTTTTCATCACATTAGGAGTACACACACTTTCAAGACATTGAAAGAGGTAGAATTGTAACGGTGACTCAATCTAGGTTTTATGCAAATGTTTTATGCAAAAAGGTAAACTCCCCAAAACAATTAATAACTAAGATGATTTCACGCGTTTGCAACTCTTTTAATGTCCAAACTCTGTATCTTAAAAATGTATCTGAACCGAGCTGATGCATGCAAATGATTACACCATTGGCGTGTGCCCAATTCAGGATCAACATTTATTATTGATCATAACAGCCAATAACATTGGTGTGTGTGTGTGTGTGTGTATGTGCCTGCACACCATATGTGCCCGTATGTGGCTTTCAGAGTTTTCAGCACCCAGTTTGCTCTCCGTCTGCACCCTTAACGGGCGCAGGGAGAGCTGGGATGTCAATGGACAGAGGGATTAAAAGTCTTCTGAAAGACTTTCGCGCCGGGTCCTGTGTGTGTGTGTGTGTGTGTGTGTGTGTGTGTGTGTGTGTGTGTTAAGGGGCTAGGGCATATTGTGGCTCTGAAAGGCCTGATGTGGGGACTGATGCAGGGGGACAATGCAGGCTTTGTCTCCATAGTCCCTGTGCCCTTGGTCCGCCCATAGCCTCACTGAGGTCTATTCAAACCCCACGGTCAGAGAGGAGGGGGGAAGAGGGCTACCTGTGCTGAACTTGTGGGAGAGCAAGAATATGCGAAATGGGTTTCGTTAGAAATTGATTGTGCGAGATCGTTATTTAGCCTGTTGAGCCACGTCTTTTCCGACGTGAATGAACACACGTGAGTGATCCGTCTCCTGAGCCGATGCTGACGGCTGAACGCTCCACACCGAGCCGCAGCGACAGACGTTAAGCTGCCATTAGTCACCAGCGTCTGCGTGACTTCTAAATGAAATCATGGAGCCGTGTTTTGACCTCGCTGTGCTCATTAGGGCTCCCACACTGCTCGGGCCGCATGTGAGCGGACAGAAGTGTTAAGGTAACTAACGTTGAGGCCCAGTAGAAGGTATCTGTATAACAAAGCCGCTACACACTGTCTCACACTTTCTCCAACGACCTATTTGTAGTCATGTATAGGCGTCCCCCCCCCTCCCCCCACACACACACCTCCCGTCCTATACATCTACCTCGGAGGTCTCCTGTTCTCCCCCGAGACACACAAGCACACACCCCATGTATCCAACTGTGGCTCATTAGCACCTGTGAAAAAGCCTTCAGACAAAAAAGCAGTCCACCCACTCTCAGCTCCTTTCACAACCCGTCCCCTTCCTCCCGGTTCCCTCCGACGTGTCTCCCTCAGTCCCAGTCAGATGGACACGTTGTGGCGGTCAGGACAGGGTCAGACAGTCTAAATGGAGGTTGTCCTACATCCGCGATCAGCTACTTATGCTTGGATACGCTCACTTGGTAAGCTGAACTCTTGTGTGCGTTTGTGGATATTTATACCTCAGTTGTTTTGCTGCGGTTTGTATTGTGTAGTTAACGAATGCAGCACGGGGGAGAGGGGGGTGGGGGAGGGGGGGGGGAGACCTCCAATTACATGATTATTAATTACATGTAATGTAATGTTCTGTTTTCTGTGTTGTCTGACTAGAAAAGTGTTAAAACTCTTGAGAAGTCTGGTCTGTTCTTGTGAGGGAATAGAGAGTTAAACATCTCAGTCAAAGACCCAAACGGTCTTAAGATCCAACTAAACGAAATGTTTCTATTTGTTTCGCTGAAGCAGTTTTTAAGCACACGTATGCTTACCTTTGGGTTTGCGTTTGTACCTTCTCAGTAGCCTGCTTGAGTGTGTGAGCCGGATATCATCCAGTGTGTGTGTGTGTGTGTGTGTGTGTGTGTGTGTGTGTGTGTGTGTGCGTGCTTCACTCCGACTCGTCCCTCCTCCCCCTCGGACTTGTGTGGCCAACTGTGCGATGTCTCAGATACGTGTCAAGTTGTTGGTGTGGAGACCGACGCCTGGATGCGAGTTACCTCCATCTCCTTCCTCTTCCCCTTTCTCTGACAAAAATAAACAAGTCCCTCCAGGAGCCAGTTCTGCTTTTCCCGGACATTTTCTAGTCCATCATTATTTTTTCCCCCTAAAGGTTTGGGTATTACAGAACTCTAAATAAAATAACCTTTTTTCACTTTGACAACCAACCAAATTGCCTTTGAGGAAACATGCATTAAAAGATCTTTCAGGAGATCCACCAGGGTCAAATTGTGAATATAGTTTAACAAGAATCTATAATTTGATCTTTGTGTTTCTGCAGCGGTGTCCAACCTGGACGAGGAGAGCAAGTGGACGGTTCACTACACGGCGCCGTGGCACCAGCAGGAGAACGTCTTCCTACCGGGCAGCAGGCCGCCCTGCGTAGAAGACCTCCACCGCCAGGCCAAAGTCAACCTTAAGACCGCCCTGCGAGGTGAGGATCAGTCCAATCATCAGAGAATAAGTGATCAATACTTTGTGTTTTATGAGCCACTTGCAAGCTTTCTGGAAGGAGTAACGTGGTTTTATGTTTTAGTCATTTTTGCTTGGCAATCAGCAGTGAACGGATGCATCAAATAATTATTTCAGCTCTGATCTTTCTGTGTAATTTTAGTTCCAATTATTTTTCAAGTGATATCTAAAATCATTTCTTTCCAAATTAAAGCAAAATACACACGCTGACAAATGTCACACGAGAGACCGTCTGCTGTTTGTCTACAACGCCGTAAAGCGTCCAACCCTCTCATTTCTGTTCCTTCCTAAGTTTAGCCAACAAACACAACAGTGTGAGATCCTCTCCTCCATGTTTGTGCAGCGCAACTAAGAGAAAAGTTTGTTTTTGAGACGACACAGGGAGTCGAGCGGCAGCGGAGCGCCATCTTCCTAATACGCTCGCAACATGTGCAGAGCAGGAAATGGATCTACCAGTAAATGTGGTCCCCTGTTTCGCTGACAGTTCCCGGGAGAGTTGTCCACTCGTTACTCTGATAAGAGAGAGGCAGGTGTGAAAAAGGAGGTGTGCTTATGGGTGCGTAAATGGGTACATGTGTTACAATAAAGGCCCGTTGTTTACGTGCAAGGTTGGCCTTGTGTGCCAGCTGATAAAAAGGGAGGAGCAGATAAAGGGAGAGAGAGCGATGGTCAGGGTTTGTAAAGAGTTTGTAACCTGCTTTTAACAAACACACACACACACACACACACACACACACCGCAGGGCCTTTTTATCTTTCCTATTGTTTGACCACTGAGCTGTTATTGCTTCCTGCAATATTCATGTGGATAAGTACCAAACACCACCTGGGAGGTTGGATTAAATAAGATGCCCCTCCCCCATCCTGTCATCCACCCAGCCCCGGGGGTCCTGAATGGAAGACAACAGGTGTCCAATGGGAGCACCTGTGATGTCCATTGAGTCCTTATGTTGTTTTCTTGAGGCTGCGGGCTTCACACCTCGCTACAACCCAGCCAACAAACCTTTAAGTTCAAATACAACTATCTATGTTTCATTTAAGTCAATGTACATGTGATTTATTTTGGAAGAAATTAACTCATTTAAAGGTTCACATCGGAAAATGAAACCACCCCATTCTCGTGCACACGTAACCATACATTTCATGTGCAGTGTGCAGTGAGCTACACGAGTCAAGCCAAGTGATCAATAACCAATCGGATGGCAATGTGCATCCACACACATACGTTTCAATTACAGAAAACGGGCCAATAGGTCGAGATATATCAGGAACATTACGCAATACGATTATCGTCATGATTCAATGATGTATTCGTTTAGTCAATGATGGTGAGCAGTTTGTTCAGGGTGTTTATATATGTAAGAATACGTTTAGATTTTATCCCCAAATTTTCTTTTTTCTCATTTCCCCTTAGATTGCCTTGTTATTTAAAAGCTTTTATTATTATACAGCAAAATAAGCCGGTGCTGGCTTTTCATTTCCACCCACAAACCACAAAGTACACCAGATATCTGAAAGAACAAACAGCGACGCAGGAGAGACACAAAATGTCAAACCGCAGACATTCGGATCAAAGTCCAGAGCACACAGAATCTTTAAGCGTGTGTTTTTCCTCTGATCTCCTGCCTGAACACAAGTTGAGTCTCGCTCTCAACAACACTGCTGGTTTGATGGGGCGGGGAGGGGAGGGCGTCGTGTCATGCTGGTTCTGTCTGCGAGGCGTCACCACGGCCCCCTTATGGACGGGCCATCTTATGGACGGGCCCTCTTTGGTGGTCCTTCTCGGGAGCGACTCTGCAAACATTCAGCAGAAAGCTGTTAACACGCTCTGCACGCTACCTGCTTAATCTGCCATCAATTACTGTGTTATAATCTGATTAACCTGCCATTGTAAAGTATATATGGATACATCCAGTTCATCTAATTATAGGGTTTTTGTCCTTCTTGCTGCTTGTCTTGTCCCTTAGGTGCTTCTTAGCAACAAGCGGCTCATCAAGGCTTTTTTATTTTATCACCCTTCCTCAATCATGCAAAACCCAACTATCGTAACCGCTTCCACTCCCCCCGTCATCATCCTCATTATCATCATCAAACCTTTTCTTACACACCGCTACCACATCAGCCTGTTGCTACCTTTGCCAACCCAATTAGGATCCATTAACTGACAGTATTATACATGCACCAGCGTGTCTCTCTCCGCTGAGAGGGGAGGGTGTAATTATTTAGGGAGATTGATGGCACATAAAAGGGATCAAAAGCAGCATCGCCAAAGTGCCAGGGTAGGAGTGATGTGCATGTGCTTTTGTACACATGCGTGTCAGTCTCCAAAAGGGATTTTAATTGTGCATCACACGCTGACTAAATCCCAACGATGCAAGAAAAAAAAACTAAATGTTTGTCCTTAACAATTAAAACGTCGTGATCCTTCAGCTTACGTACACAAAACACTGTGAGCTGCAGCAGATATTCAGCTGAAACGAGACAAAAGAATCCATGAGTAGATATTTGCAGGGGGAGATTTGATGCTAGATCCCCACTTACAGAAAGATGGAGAATGGGGAAAAAAACGACGGACAGTTCTGCCATCTGTGTGTGACAGACTGAAACGGATACCCTCCTCCTGGTCTCACACACACACACACAGCCACATTTTATTTACCAACTCCCATCTGGTCTCACACACGCACACACATCACAACCCACGTCACAGCAGGTGGTGACGAGAGGTGTGAGTGGCGCTGGGCAGCGTCCAACAGACACGGTGGTCACGTGACTGACACACAACCCCCCCGACCACACACACACACACAAAGTTTTGGGTCAATAAATATATCTTACATCCACAGGGTTTATATATTTATGTCAGAATTTCCGTTTGTCTATAATATGTTTCTCTGTCTGTCCTACAGAATGCGACAAGTTGAGGAAGGATGGTTTCCGGAGCTCTCAGTACTACTCTCAGGGTCCCACCTTCTCCGACCCCTTACAGTCCACCAGCAGCCTTCAGGATGAGGAGGAGGATGACGTTGATAAGAAGGTACACACACACACACACACACACACACTGCACTGCACTGCACTGCAGCTGTTCAGGTGTAACAGTCACCTTGTGTTACATACTGTGCATGTACCTGCACACGGCAGCCCATTCAGCGGCATGGCAACTCCCCTTCTGTCATTTCAACAGTGTCGGCCTGCCCTCCAGTGGTTAAATATGAGAATGCTGTTTAATTAGTTACCTCTCTGTCTTCATGGCGTTATTTTCTAATTATGTTTTCAACAGACGTAATTATCACCTTTTTAAATCCATTTACGCCTACAAAGGGATTTGCATTTCATATTTTGCCAGTAAATCTTTCCTCCTTGGTTGACACTGTACACATCAAATTATGTGCACATTCATGAGGCTGATTGGTGCATAAAGACTTCATTGTGATTGAATGTTTCACTCCCGGTTTTAGTTTTAGTTGCATTCTCTGGTATGTGGTTATTTTTAAGGCTGAGCTAAACGTAAATGGAGAATAAACACTGAAAAAAAAGAGAAAGGAATAAAAAAGTAACACAAAGTGTCGCTCTGTTAGCTGGCAGACCGTTGGTGTGCAGTGAGCTATAAACGGTTGGACAGCCACATATTTCTCCTCAGTTGTATTTCTCCCACACAAAGTGGTATGAGGGGTCCTGAGAGGGTTTAGGGGTCTTTACCCTCTTATTATCCTCGTCCCCTTTGTCCCCGCGGAGCCCCTCCATGTCGACCCGCCTGTTTCATTCCTTCCCTGACCCTCGACCCACATGACACGCTGTCGCCTCTCTAAACTGTCGCCTCCCATCTCTCTTCATCCGTCGTTCTACTCTGTTTGTCTCTCGTCTCCGTCACTTCCTGTTGTCCTGTGGCCAGTGAGCCTAACTTTGCCCGATGGCAGCTTCGATGCAAAATAACAAGCCAGGCCTTCTACATCCCCTCGTTTACTGCCCCCTTTGCCGCCTCTCCCCCTTTTTGCATCCAGCCATGCGTGGTTTGTATGAAAGCACCAATCGCCGTCTTTTCTAGCCAGTATTTCGCTGGAGAGCGTGAGGACAAGAAGAAGTAATGGACATTTGGTGATTACTGGATGTATTTTGGAGAACTTCATTCCAAAAAATTCAATAAATCCCTAGGAGGATTTTATTTCCACGGAAAACTAGAATTGATCTATAATAAGAATCATTTGGGAGTATTTGTGTTCATGATTGAAATGGCATTGACAGCGAATTGGAAGCAGCTGGTTTTCTGTTGAAGTGTGCTTGCTGGAGTAAAGCGTTGTTGTGTGTTGCTTCTCAGCTGTAAATTGTCCTGAGCCTTGAGTACCGGGACAGTTTAATGCATGACCGATTCTCCCCCTTTTTCATAACCATCGTTGCTCTCTCGCTTTTATCCTGCTAGTTTTAAAACGCAGTCGGCGACCTGTGATGGATGTTTCCGTGGTTGTAAGCTTGTGTTTCCATTAGGGGTTTGATTGATCGTGAATTATGTTTTCGGCACCGCAACGGTCACAGTGATGCAAGTCTGTTAGTGTCTCTCTCTCTCTCTTCCACCTTCCCTTTCTTCCGGCCATCGTTGACTTTGTGTTAACCAAGTCTCACCGAATCCTCTTTCTCATCCAGTCCACCGCGTCCTCAGCGGAGGACAACAAATCCCAGGTCTCCATGAGGCCCCACACCCCGCAGGGGGGCGGCGAGGGAGGGGAGAGGTACGAGGTTGACGGACAGGTTGTGTGGACCCGGGGCACGTCCCTCCCCACCCCAGAGGAGAAGATGAGGCTGGCGGCTCGGGCCGTGCCCACCGACATAGTTCCCATCAACGTCACAGGTATGACCTCCATGGCAACCGCCATCATCCAACCACTGTGTCCGTCTCCCACTCGAGTAGCCACCAATCACGCTCAGCGTGGTCTAGTAGTGGAAAATAAATGTCCCGGTCCGGTAGTTCCATATTGAATAGCGACCTACAGAGATCCAACTGCTTTTGAGTTTGATCTGGAACTAATCCTCCTTGGTCTCTGCTCTGTAACATCAACCTCTTTCAATCCCTCATTTTGTCTGTTTCTCTTGCTCTGTTAAATTTGCTTTATTTCTGTTTTACTGAGAATGAAACGGTATGATGAGTTTAATATATATATATTGTTTTTGAACCAAAGGACAGCTGGGGATGATGGAAATGTCATTAGTTTGGGACAAATTCACATCTTAACCAGGTGATGGCGCTAGATGACTAAAACTGTAATATGGCAGTTGTGTATCTTGTGGTTTTATTGGTATGCTCATATAATTCTCAGTAAGGCAGGACAAAAGGAAATTGTCTGAGTGGATATAGAATTAATCAATTACTGACGGAGATAAAACCTGTCAGTCATGAATGTCCGCCTCTCCTCGTGTACCTCCTGTGTATATCTCTCCTGTGTCGTCGTGCTTCGCGTCGACCGACCTTCACCTTCCTTCGTGCGTGTGCGAGCGCGCGCTTGTGTGTGAAAATCGTTTGACAGCTTATCCGAGGGTCAAGGCCCCTTCGCTGACTTTACGTCAGATCACGCGGCGTCTTGACGGATGAACACCTGCAAAACGCGTCGATGCAATTCCCCAGTTAGCATGTCTCGTTTTTCAGCGCTCCCTGCCACACATAAAATGATTACTCTATTAGATGGTAGCGTGTGATGTTTCACTCCTAAGACATACCAGCTAGATATTGTTGTATGATGACAAATGACCTGCAGCTCAGTATCAACGTCTTCATCTTGCCACTCCGATCCCGCTGTCCTTCAGACACTAACGAGTGCTTGATGTGGTCCCGCCTGACACAAATCATTGTTGCCTTTGTCTCCTGTCACTTTACATTACTGAGGAAGAGAGAGGAAACATACACACACACACACACACACACACACACACACGTGTAGACACAAGAGAGACATCTGGGACTTTTCTGTCATTTTCAGGGGGGAATGTGATGGACACCATCTGCCCTCATATCAATTTGTATTTCCCTTACGCTTGCATGCTGTCACCAGCCCGCCACGGAAAGAAGAGCAGTTCCTATAAGATAATCCTATCTGTATGCCTGGATGCCACTCGGCCCTTTACTATTTCCACTCTGCTGATGTTGCATGTTTAGTTTAAAGAAGAAAAAAAACCACACACAAGCCTCTGCACGTTGTCGAGTTTGCCCGACTAACCGACTGCTCTCTGCCTGTGTGTGTGTGTCCGCCTGCCTTGCTCTCGCCCTCCCGGCTACCAGGGGCGGTGTTTGACCGACAGGCGAGCATCCGGCGCTCCCTCATTAACACAGACACCGTGTCCCGCCGGCCCAAGAAGGTCAAACGCAGAAAGACTATATCAGGGCTGCCTGACAACTTCAACCATGAGCTAGGTATGGATCACTGCGGGGCAATGTGTTGCCCTCTACCGTCCACGGGCCTGTACCAACACTGCGGACCAGCATCCCTCCTTTCCATTACTCCCAATAATACTAGATTTATGCTTAGCTCCAACAGCCGTATACGTTGGTCGGGAGAATGAACTCACCCCACCAGCATTGGTCTTAGTAAGTCATGTCGAGTGGGAGAAAAGGACACATGCTAGTCCGCAGTGTTGGATCAAGGCCCTGCAGATGTTCTGTGCTTCCTTCTTTCAGTCCTTCATACCAAATGTCCTCAGTTGCTCTCCTCCACCCTGTTTAAGTGCCAGGAACCAGTTATGAAAGTTTGGTTTGGTTCACCTTTGTGTCTTAATGATGCATATGCGCCTTAATCCCGGGGGCCTTAATGATAATCGTTAGCATGTATTGCATGTGTGTCTTACTTACCAGCAAGTACTGATTAAGAGACAAAATAGGCCCCTGATTACGAACACCTCAAAAAGCCCCACAACCCATTTTCACAACATGTCTTTAAATCCTCCAAACAGATGAGGGACGCATAGTAAACACTAAGTTTCAGAGGTCCCCGTCTGAGCTGAGCTGGGTGTTAAGCAAACACTAAGCTTTTTAAGCTGACGCTGTGCTGTGATGACGCCCCTGCACGGCCAACGTTTATTTACACGTTTTCTGAGCCGCGGGACCAGCCGACAACAGCCTGTGAATGTCATGATTACTGGGCCGGGGTAACGGTCCCAGTGCTGCCTCCCTCCCTCTGCTCGCACAAGACCTGCAGCTTAATCTATCGCAGCAGCAGCAACAGCAGCCAAGCTGTCACTCTCTCAGCAAACGGAGGAAGAGAGGGGATGTGTGGTTTAGAGAGAGAGGGAGAAAAGGGAGAGACAGCATCAAGGAAGTGAGCGTATGTTCTGGGATACCAGCATCAACAGGAGAAGCACCACAGATGGGAGACCGGCTACAGATCGTCTCTCGTTTTGCAACTCGTTCTTCAAATTGTTTGTTTACAAGCCGGTATGTGTGTGTGTGTGTGTGTGTCCGGTATACCTGCATTCCTGTGTGTCCTTGTCTCTGTACCTCTGTACCTGTATGACGATGCGTGACCATTTCCACACCGTGTACGCTCGTGTCCATGTCTGTGTGGGTTCGTTGGCTGCCTTACCGCGGCGGATTGTTCGCTTTTCTATTGGGACTGAGCCAGAGCCATGATGGGAAGCATAGGAGGCAGTCTCTCTGTCCTCCTTCATAACCTTTCCTGCTTAATGAAGAAAACCAGAAGTCGTTGGCGCGTGAGACGGGTACAGCTAATCAAATTAAATAACCTCCATGTGACCACAGTTTATCTGACCGGTCGAGTACAGCAGAAGAGCATGGTTGCTGACAAAGTTATCGAGAGGCAAGAGAAGGGTCATGCAAGATATTCTTATTAATTGTGTGTCCAACTATTTCCTTTATTCCTTTGACAGCAGCAAAAGGATACGGCGGAGAGCTCCGGCCGCATTCCATGTTCATCCCGGGCCAGTACTCCACCTTAGGCCGGGTTGGGAGTGTCAGCTCGACGCTCCGACGCTCAGAGACCAGAGACTCTGGCTGCCAGACGGAGAGCGTGAAGGTTGTGCCCCCGTCCATGAGACGAATCCGGGCTCAGAGAGGACAGGGAATCGCCGCGCAAATGGCCGGCATTTCTACTTCCTCCTCGACGGGAAGTATATCCATCGCGAGCAGTGACGGCTCCGGGATCTTGATGCTGCCTCAGTTTAATAGAGACCCCTCCCGTTTCCACAGTCTGCCCCGACCGGGCGCCAGGGTGTCCCTCAGCGCCGACCCCATTTACAGCAGCACCCCCGTCAGGTCCGAGGACCAAACTACACCTCCGAGGCAGATCAGCAAGCTTCAAGTTGATGATTCAGTGGTGCACATGAGAAACGCGCCGCGGACGGGCACCCTGCCCCGGCCCAGGTCCCAGGAGTTGAGGGGGACGCAGGCCAGTGATTGGGGGGGCGGCCCAGCGTGCGTAGTCTCCCCGCACGCCGCCTACTCCACCTCATTCATCCCCAATGCCACCCTGTCCGGCTCCTCTGAGGTCATTAGCCTCAACACCTCCGGTAAACTCCACTCGCAGGCCGGCGCTTACCCCACGGGGCGAACGCTCAGTGCCGCCTCCTCCGCCGACCCCAGGATCTCCAGCCCGACCGGCTTCGCCCACAGCTTCACCTGTCCGGCGCTGGCCACTTCCACCCCCACGCACACGTCAAAGGATGGCGGACAGGAAGTGGCGAGACGTGCCAGCGAGTCGGGGCACTCGGACAGCAGCATGCACAGCCGCAGCACCTTGGCCCCCACACCTCCGTCCGGCCTGCCGGAGGAGCAGTGGATCTACGACACGCCGGAAAACGTGGCGGTTCCGCACCGCGCGCTGACCTCCAGCTGCTCCGTTCCCATAAACCAGTTGTACAGCAGCCTGGATCACTCCTCCAGGACCACGACGGACTCCAGCTCCCTCTACTCCCAAGACAACGACGGATACTACACCTCCATGCACCTGGACTCGGGCCTGCGCTCCCGCAGCCACGGCAGCGGGCACGGTGCCGCGCCGGGACGGGCCACCAGGCACAGCATGTACGAGTGCCGCGAGGTGGCCAATCAGGACGACTCCGGCAGCTTGTACAGCGACCGCTCGCTGTCCCGCAGCATCTCCCTCCGCAAGTCCAAGAAGCCTCCTCTGCCGCCGGCTCGTACCGACTCCCTCAGACGCAAGACTTCTGGGAAACGGCCCCTCGGAGGCGTCAGCGCCCTCGGCGGCGCCAAGGAGCCAAACGGAGCCATGCTCAATGAGACTCTCATCGCCAGCTTGCAGCAGAGCCTCCAGATGGGTCTGAAAGGAGGGAAAGGAAAAGGGGCGTCTCCTTCGTCCCCCTCTCACAGCCCAAGTAGCGACTACGACGACCCTTGGGTGCTGCGGCCACGCAGCCAGAGTAGCATCAGTGCGGGGAGCTCCGCGGCGTCACTATTGGCTAACGCCAACTGCGGGGGCGTGTCCAACGTGTACTCGTTATGCCACGTGACGCCGGCTCACAGCGACACCAGCAGCTTGCGCTCGGAGTACGCCGAATCCTGGGGTTACTACATGGACTACCCCCGTAACCACGGCGATCAGAGGGTGCAGACGCCCCCGGCCCACGCCGCGGAGAACCTGTCGGCCGACGCCCAGCCGGGGGAACTGCCGAACGGAGGGGAGGTTCTGAAGAACAGCCGGGCCCCGGATGCGCCGGGCCAGGAGGGAGGGGTGGCGGTGAAGCCCAAAACGGCCACCTCCTCACCGGACAGGGTGCACCGGCTGACGTCCCCATCCAGCGGCTACTCCAGCCAGTCCAACACCCCCACGGCTGGAACGCCAGTGCCCTCGCTCGTCAGGTCCATGTCCCCCTCGGGCGGACGGCCGAAGCCCAAAGTCCCCGAGAGAAAGTCCTCCCTCCTCTCCTCTGTATCCATGTCCTCCTCCTCCACCTCCCTGTCCTCCAACACCTCGGACTCGCTCAGAAGCTCCGGACCTCCTCCTCCACCACCTCTGCCCTTTCCCGTCTCCTCCTCCTCAGCTCCCACCACCCCTCTCAGCCCACCTCCACCCTTCCCTCCCCCTCTACCACCATGTTCCAGTGGCAGCACTCCGTCGCCACATCCCCCGCTGCCACCCACCCCTCCGTGTCAAACTCTGGGCCCGCCTCCCACTTGCTCCACCTCCCCAGAATTCCCTCCCCCTCCGTCCCCTGAAATGCTAATCCATCCCAATTCGTCCTTCAATGGGAGCTTCAGCCCTCCCCCTCCACCGCCCGTCCCCTCCATGGGTCCCCCTCCGCCTCCCCCTCTGCCGGCTTTTGTCCCCCCTTCCCCCTCGCCACCTTTTGTGAAGGCGGCGAAAGAGTCCCGGAAAGCTGCTCCTTCCAGCGGGCCCACAAAGTCACCCAAGCCCCTGATCACCCCGTTAGTTCTGCAGAGTGTGCAGCTCCGCTCCGCCAAACGCCCAGAGAAGGAGATTAACGGCAAATCGGACCACACCGAGGCTCAGGGGCTAAAGCCACGGACCCTGCAGCCGTCTCCCCCCCTGGAACAACCCACTGTGATCCCCCCAGGAGAAGATCCACGCAACTCCTCTCCATCGCCTGTGTCGAGGCTCTTAGAAGAGTTTTCTTTAGACTGCAGAATCACAGATGACGCACCAGGTAGCTCCGTCATGAATGGAAAAGCGGAGGATCAGAGTTACTTTATCCGAGGCAGTAGAGAAACATTTGAGGTGCGTGAATCATTGCCCGGCCCCCCACAGAGCCCCCGTAGCTCTCCTGTCAAACAGAAGCCCCCAGCGGTCTCCAAGAAACCCCAGATCTCTTTCCTCTCCCAGTTCATCCCCAAGCCAATCGATGAACAGGTTCCCTCTCACCTCGAAGATGCAACCAACCCGTCACCAATAGAAGACCAAGTAGATGCACCGCAAAGACAAACACAGAGAGAACAGGAAGAGCGTAAAAGAGAGCAACAGGAGGAAGAGGAAGCGTCGGAGGGCTCGGAGCCGGAGTCAGAAAGCAGCAAAACGTCAACAGTGTCCCAGAACGGGTCCTACATTTATGAATCTGCCATCCAGACGAGTCCCGATCACGGAATATACACCAATGGAGAGACTCTGGACGAGGACGAGGTAGATGGAACAAGCAGCACGACTGGATCCATCAGCTCCAAGGAGGACGACACTGGTGAGTCTGACTTAAATTCCTCAAAATGTTTCTTATCGAAACAAAAACAAAAGTTTTCTTATCGAAACAAAAAGTAAAAAGAACACTAATTTGAAATGCTGTCAGTGAAAATCTTAATGTAATTCTTACTTCCGCTGATACCACAGTCCCATATGCTTAATGGTGGAGGTGACGCTGCTCATCCGGCGGCTGTGGAATTAGTTTTGCCTTCCGAAGCAACAAATTCCAACTTGAAACTGCGAGCTTTTAAAGATTTGAAAACTGTGAAAATAGCGCAGGAGAGTCTGCTTATCTCTGGGACGGCACTCTGCATCCCGGCGCCCCCAATTCATCCTCCCTTACTCTCTCTCTCTCTCTCATCCACATTTTCATATGCATTCCTCTTCATTTTTCCTGCATCCCCCCCCCCCTTCCTCTATCTCCACCATCCATCCTCAATCCCAAACATCACTTTGAGCCTTTTCCTCTTCTCTGCTGTTAATCTTTCATACTCAGCCTGTCCCACTCAGCCCCTCTCTCCTGCTGTCCCGCTCCCATCCAGCATCCATCCTTTCTTCTCTCTCTCTCTCTCTCTCTCTCTCCGGGATGAGGGAGGGGGCAAGTGTCCACAGGGGCTGCTTTTCTGTGGTTGGAAGGGAAAAGGGGGGGGGGGAGGGGCTCTATCGTATCAAAAGGGAGGGGTGAAGCGATCTGGTAAAAAGATGGGGAGAGCGTGAAATGAGACTGAGCCTGCAGCGGCTCAGGCAGACGAAGCGCAGACGTGAGGGCGTAGAAGAAGAGGAGGAGGAGGAGGTGGTGGAGTAGGTGGAGGAGGAGAGAGGCTGAACAAGAGGGGAAGAAAAGAGAGGATATCCAGAGAGCAAAAGAGAATGTAAGGAGACAGTGCGGTACCTCCTTCTTCACACTGATTTACGCGACTGAGTGTGTGTTTGACTGAGTAGACCTGAAGTGTGTGTGCTCTCCTGTAACTCTGTCTCTCTCTCTCTCAGGTGAGGTGTTCTACTCCGGTACGGCCGAATCGTCTCCGGCCCCGTCGGCCAACGGAGCCTCCGAGCAGAACATGGTGACCCCGACTCCCTCGCGGCCCCGGACCACCGAGGACCTTTTCGCTGCCATTCACAGGTACCACATTTCTCTCCTTTAACGCATCTCATCCACTCTGCTTCACTCGTCACTCGTCCCTCTGAGCTGGTTTGTTTCACGCCGTTTATCATCCTTTCTACCTCCCCCCTCCTGCTCTGTCAACACCCCCCTCCACCCCCCCGCACCTCCACTCATAAACCACAATGTAACCCCCTGAAGTCCGAGCTCCCCTACAACCCGTGATTCGGGCCGTTGGCATCTCCTCTTCATCTCCCCCTGCCCTCCCGCCTCTCGGCCAGAACTTTTACTGCGAGTGTGCACATCTGTCAAACAGCTGCTCTCTGGCGTCACCCGGCCCGGGGTGCCGGTTTTTTCTTTTTTGTTCCTCGTCAGATTCAGGAAGCAAAAAGGCATCTGTGCTATTGAAGGCTCATTCTCAGCAGGAGAAAAAGAGGCGAGTGCTTCCATCCATTATTTAACTGCTCGACACCCTCGGGTCCTGATGTAGGTTGGAGGCCACCAGAGAGGATTGTCTTTTTACCTCTCTGTAATTATATATATACATATATTCATATTGTGTACGTGCTGCCGTGCCTCAAAGGCAGGTCACATAAATTTCTCATGCAGCCCGCCGGTTTGTGTTCCACGGTCACGTGCGGCAGCAAGTCGGAGTTCTCTTGAGCATCGCAGGATTTAATTTCACGGGATTTTATTCCCGCTGCCGACCGATTGTTGAAGTATTTACGGCGCGCACGCAACATGCACTAGTGCGATTTATCGTGCCGTTTAATTGGACGGCGGGATTGTGTATGCATGTGTGCTCGGCCCACACAGTGGAGTTGGTTTGTTAGCGCTTGTACTGCTCTCCTCCTCAGTGTGGAACCTCATACATAATTTGACAGCTTTTTGATAAGTGGGAAGTGACGAGGGGATTCGACAACAGAGGAGGACGAAATGTGTGTTTCTCATGGTGTCTTTGTCGCCGTCTCTGGAGGTCTTCCTTCTTCTCCTCTCCGACACATTTCCTTACCCCTCATCACCTGTCCTCTCACCTCTTCTCAAAGAGAGAACGACGACAATCCAAAACACCCTTTACATCTGTGGCTGAAGGTCCAGCCGGACCCGGAGGGAGTCGCCCCAGACGGAATGTAGTACAAACCGAGAGATCGATCGAGCGTCCGGAGACGCGTCTCAAACTCGCTGCCTTGATTTACCTCCACTGAGACCCGGCAGCGCGGCCGCATACATGCGTGTGAATTCCACGAGCCGGGAGGTCAGCCTGGCGTTCAGGTGTGCGAGGCGCACGCACGTGTGGATGTGTGAGTCTTATGTAACGCTGACGGAGCTCACGGGGGACGGCGCTGGATGTAGGTTGACTTTCTCTCTGTCTTCCTCACAACAGACAGCACAGCGGGGACCGTTTGCACTCTCCAGTTCCCCCTCTCATCTGACCTTCACAAATATATTCTCCACCGGTTATTTCTGTATTCTGCTGTGTGGAGGAATTGTTTTCTGTAGATCCAATCTGAGGATTATGGATTCTCTCCATCACTGCTCCCTTTGAGGTTTTTCGCATCCCGTCGCTGCGCTTATCACAGAATCTGCATTTTTCATGCCTCTAATCTCTGTCCCCCGTCTCCTCCTCTCTCCCTCCTGGTGCAGAGGACACGCGTTGGGGGAGAGCATCCCCGCTAGACGATCCCCTTCCCTTTGATTAGCGAGCCTTGTTTCTGTCATCGCGGTGTTGCTACCTTTTGGATTACCAACACTAATCCCACAGTGCAACCCCCGCAGACCACAGATTAATAAAGCTGTTCCCTTAATCTCATTCTGCATTCTGCCAGTTGCGGCTTTATCGCCGTGCTTTGGTGCAGCCGGCCTCTCTGATGCCCCATGTTGAGAGGAGGCTGAATCGTCCTCGTGTGATTAAAACCGCTTTCGGGCACCTTTCCCAGTTTATGATTAATTTCATTGTGTCTGATCTTTCCTGCACCGTCTGCAGCTTTTTCGGCATTTCTTTAACGCAAATGTGACTCTTATCAGTGTCGTCGCTTTATTTTTTTGAGCATCCACGCCAGCCGATGTTCCAAGACTCGCTCTGTGACGCGTGCTTGCTGTGGGCAGTGCTGACATACGGCCAATATGGGACAAAAATGTTGAGGATTGAAGAATTTGAAGCGGATTTTCTTCTCTTTTTTTTTTAGCTTCTACAAACATTTGCAGTGATGGATTGTACAAAAGGCGGCTTCCTGCTGCACCCGTGTTCTCCAGTTTGATGATGATTATTTCCTGACAATACTGCCAATTCCTAGCATTTCCACTGGCTCCTCCCTCAGTTCAGCATTGTTCTTTCTAATTCACTAACCTCGCCTGCACTCACTCACAGACTAACGTCTCTAATCCTTTGTGCTAGGTCCAAGCGCAAGGTCCTGGGTCGCAAGGAATCGGATGAGGAAAAGTCCCGGTCCGAGAGCCACCCACAATCGCCCCCCGTCACTCCGTCGGGCGGCTCCCCAGGGGCGGCGTCCCCTTTGCCCCGCCAGTCGGGCTCCATCCAGCGCAACCTTCGCAAGTCCTCCACCAGCAGCGACACCTTCAAGGCCCTCCTGCTGAAGAAGGGAAGCCGCTCGGAGACCAGCTTCAGGATGTCGGCCGCCGAGATGCTCCGCACCACCGACCCTCGCTCCCAGAGGCCGCCCTCGGAGTCGGCCTTCGACTCCCCCGAGGCTTCGCCCTCCTCGCCGATGGGGCCGCACAGCCCCTGTAACTCCCCCGGCCGTGGCCAGAAGGCGGCAGAGGAGTGGAGCCGCTACGAGGCGCTGGCCACGTCCTCGCCGACCTACCCGTCCTTTTCCATGAGCGGGTTCCGGTACGGGCGGTCGCGCACGCCGCCCTCCGCGGCCAGCAGCAAGTACAACGCACGCTGCCGGATCCTCAGCAGCCCCATGACGGTGATCTGCGAGCGCGAGGGCGAGCTGGCCGAGAGCGAGTGCGGAGACGCCGCGGACACCTTGTCCGCACCCGCTGCCCCGCCTCTCCCTGCGTTCAATCACTCCAATGGCACTTTATCCGACGAGAGCAGAAGTTAAAAGGCAAGGACCGCCGCTTAGATACAAGCAGCGGAACTCACTCGTCGTAAGGCAGGTAGGGAGCAGGAAGAGGAGCCAATAGGAGGCCCTCAGGGCACACCTTCCTGAGCCCCGCCCCCTCGGGTTGCATCTGGGGCCAGTTAAACGTCAGGCTGGGATGTGAGGTCGGAGGTCGCCGCGTCACGGACCAGACTGAACTTAGTTCCAAGTGGAGCGCGGTATCTGCTGCACCTTCTCACTGCTCCCGTCGCTCTCGCTCTGTCCTCCCGACTCGCCCGTTGTGTCCAAAGGACGCCGTTGGCTTCCCGCCTGGTCTTCACTTTGTTTCCATTGTTTGCTTTTCTTTCCTCACTACGATGTGTCTTTTCTTCAAGTCACAAGTTGTAACTGGCGGTGCTGTGTAGCTGGGCAGTGGGAATGTAGAGGCGTGCTGGACGCTCGCTCAGCTTCTCTTCGGTCGGCTCCGGTCCGTGTTTGAGCGCATCGCGGTCGGCGGGTGTTTGCTTCAAACAGCCCACAGTATTGTGAGGTGAAGCCGAGGAGGAGGAGGTGCAGCGGACGGCTCCACGGTACAGCTTTGGCTACGGTGTCCGGCAGGTTTCGCTTCCTGCACGGTTTAGTTTGCAGAGCCGGGAGGTTCCGTGGTGCACAGGAAGCGCAGAGGGCTCCGTGCTGCCCCCTAGTGACGGCCGGGAGGTAAACAGCCGTCGAGTGCAAAAAGACTCAACCAAAACAGCAAATTTACTCCTAAAACCTCTATTAATTGAATTTTAGTTTATAGATTTGCATTGTGCATAGATATTTTTTCTTTGTTTGTCTCTTAAAAACTCTGTTTTAAAGATTGTTTTAATAAAAAAGTTATGTCGTGTTTTGGAGTTAAGTATGAATCTACAAATCTAAAGAGAATAAACTTGTTTTACTCTCGGCGTCTTTTAGTGATCATGTTGGGTACCAAAGAGCTAAGAAACGAACACAACCTGAGCGTGTGCCAGGCTGCTGGAACCTACTAAACCCTCTGAGGCTTCAACGCGTTCAATAATTCTGTTGACTTTTCTGCTAAGTGGCATTCTTTTGCAGTTTTATATGATCCCGTATGTAAATACATAGAGAAAGAAGTTTTAAGTGACATTTAGACTTTGAAGACTGAACATTTTTAGAGGGAGCGGTTACCTTTTTGTAGATTATTTATTTTCACATAGCTGTCAAAGGCGTCATGATCAGAGTCCACCTGCAAGGTGATGGAGCCACAGGGAGGAGTTATGAGAGCCACATTTACCACGTATTTACCACCATTTAAAGGTGCAAAACAAGCGTCAATGAAGACAACATTTAGGCTTAACATTGCACCGCCCTTAACCTGGAGGCATGCAAACACCGCGCTCAGTAAATGTGGCCTCCTAAGAGTCATCCACTGAGAACTGAGTAACCTCATAACACCCCGTGGTTTAATCACCTGTGACCAAAGTGTGTCTCCGAGCTCCCCTGATTGACTCCCCGGGCCTGTCTCATGCCAGGATAAACGTCCTCGATCGCAGAGGGACAAGCTGGGGGGGGGGGGCAGAGGTAGTTGGAGGGGAGCTGCTAAGGATCTTGTCTGTCTGTGTAATAAAAGATGATATTTAAAGAGTGAGGTTCTGTATCATTTCTCTCCTGTTTCTCTCAGCCCCGGCAGCCTCATTAGCGCCGTTGCCATGGCAACCCTACTCGCCGGTCATCTGGACCCCCCCCCCCCCCAAAAAAATCAGTTTTTTACCTTGGCATTATGATTACGCTCTCAGACACCGTGTCAATACAAACTCCTCCCAGCTGTAATCACGCTATTGACACCTCATATTAAAGCGCCTCGATGTGGTACGAAGTGACTAAAGGAAACTATCCGTGGAGTCAGAACAGGGCGGTTCATTGATCATAACATTGTGGTAAAATGGGTGGAAACTATTGGCACGCGCTGACACCTGCAGTCCGGGTCCATCGACCCCTAATTTGCAATATGTGATGCAGGTAATAAAAAATAAACTGCTTGGAAAAACAGAATGCCGGTCCAGATTCTTCCAGTTAATAACTCTGCCACCACAAAGGGCACAGCGGTATTTTTCCAGAAGATTAAGTTGAAACACCCCAGCAGTGAGCCTCTTCACACATTCCATATGCGCAGCAGTGCTTCACCTCACCGAGATCGATCCGACTGGTGAAGTACAGACGAGGCGCTCACAGGGTTTCTGCTGAGCTCCTGAACATGATCGCCGGAACAATTCTGCCACAAATAAAAAAAGAACGACTCAGCGGACGCGACCCCTGGCGACGAGGGAAGGTCAGAGAGGAGAGAACTGGGCCTGATGGACGGCTCGCGTTGATCAGCGTGCGACGGCCCGAAGTGCGTCTGCAGACCACCTGAGCAAACCCTTTGTGATTCAAACTACAGTAACAGACTCGCACCACAAAACAGAGACGACGATATCAATCATTCGATGCTGAGGTGTGTTTATTATTTATAGGATCGTACATTTTTCGTTCTTAAACATTCAGCAGGAAGTCTAATCTCCCATGAATCTTACATGAGTGCAGTGGTTATGTCATCATCCCCTCATCTAGTATCCATAGTGTCCCTTCAAGGTGTAAATATTCTCTAAATACGATTATTGTGATTTAGTGTAGATACTTTATTGATCCCTCAAGAGGGAAAAAAAAGTTACGGTCCATCAGGCCGTCGCTTAGTGGATCGTTGAAAGAAGAAAGAACACACAAAAAAATTCCAGGAAAATAGTTAAGTCCCAAAACAAAGTTAGCACACTGCAGCGGCGCCATCTTACATTATGTGTATAAAAAGAATGTAAACTCAGTAAAAGAAAAAAGCACAATGTTTGTTAGCTTGTAAGTTTCCGTTCTTATTTCACAAAGCACCACAAATATTGGTATATTTCAACTTCTGGGTAGATACAGAACTACACCACCATTCATTCGTCAGGGGAATGTTTTTGTTGTTGTTGTTGCAATGACTAAGTGTGAGTAACCCTCACGGCAGGAGACAAAACCTTCTGTCTCCAGTTTGCAGGCGACCAACAAAGTTAAAAGATGGGTTCACATTTGTAATATTGAGCAAATTAGTGTATTTTCAACAACTGATTAGTTCAAAAAGAGGCACTAGTGGTTTTTGTAAAGATGCACCCGGCGACAGAAAGCTGTCGGCTCCCCCTGCTGGTAATAATGTCCCTCTATATCCATTATATATATTATGTATTAATATTTCATTGGTTTATAATCATATTTGGTCTCTTTGTGCAGCCTTTCAGTAAAGTGTAATTCAGTAACCTTTTGTAAAACACTAATGTATTAGACAATATGACCAATAAAATTAATAACTTTGACTCCCTTTATAAATTGGTTACAGCTGTGCTGAGTGTTCCCATATAAACATGTCATTTTCTTGAACTTCCTACTCCTGCTCCTTCTTAAGGAGCCACACCTCGTTCCTGCGGTTGGTGAGTTTGAAGGGGCTGTCGTACCCGGCTGTGTAGAACGGCTGGTCGACGTATTGGAGTCCGTCTCTCTGCAGACTCTCCATCAGCTTCAGGAGCTCTTCGCGCTTCATATTGTCAGTGGAAAAACCACCGTATGTCCTGGTGGAAGGAACAAGGGTGTGGGTTAGGTTCTGCATATCGTGGAGTTAATCAACTCTTTTTTGTTTTATGACCTGTGCGGCCATTTGCTAATATTGAATCGAAAAGACCGTTCGAGGCTGCGCTCTCTACCTGACGTAGGCCGTGAACTCCTTCCTGTGCTCCACAAACACCTCCGGGTCGCTCGGCTCCGGTGGATTTTCCTGATGCTCCTCGGGGATGTAGAAAGACACGGTGAACTGAGATTCGCATGCGGGGCCGGCTCCGGGGGCCACGCGGCACGTCACGGGGGCCGTCATCTCCACTTTCACGTCTGAGGGAATAAATAATAACACTGATGTAAAAAAAAAAACAGAATGGCCAGAGGGGGCACACATGTGACGTGGTGTAAAATGCAAAAAGAATAAGATGCGTTTTAAAAGAAATGAAAAATTGAGGTTGATGAACGATTCCGTCATGTAATGAGGTTACAAACCATGCACAGATAGTACATTTGCAAAGAATTGAATAAATATGAAACATGGCCAGATGGCAGACGTTGCAATGTGAGGATTAAACAGCAGGTTTACACATGACACACAATGCAGTCCACAGTACAAACAACCTACTGTATACGCTCATAAATAATGCAGGTGTAAACTGCTGAGTAAGACAAAGGCAGCAGCGCTGTTTCAAACTGCTGAGCAAGAACAAAAGTGCACTTTTCCATCGACTGCCTTGTATTCACGCCAAAGTTCTGTGACTTTACTTTATGGTAATCCGTCCGATTTAATCGGATTACCATTGTGAAATTTACATAAATACAAAAGATTCTTAGCATCTCGTTGAAAAGGTCGCGATACAATTGAGAATATTGCAACCTTCACAAAGGAAAAATCATCATTTTTATTTCCCCCACCACATGTGGCATTTGGGGAACTCACTGTTTTGATTGGTGCCTTGGATGTACTTGAAGAGCCTGCGGAAGCCCGTCTTCATGGATTCGTCCCACTGCATCCCACTGACAGCGGTGCTCACCCACTTGGTGTCGTGGTAGGTGCGGACCTCATAGTCCTGTTCCTGCAGAAAACACACACGTGTTGATTATTTTGTACGATTAATCAATTACATCGTTCCCCGTGAACTGATCAGGAGGTGTGTCTTGTTGTTCCTGTGGTCATCTTTACTTGCAATACAAATCCTCGTTATATTACATTTTTTTAAAGGCTTCAGTTCCCAGTGACATCGTCTCATGTACTTTTCATCAATTCAAAGCCGATAATGTAAAAGAAAAAAAGACCCACAGAAAGAATAGCTGTTAAAAGTTAAGTTCTACCTTCTTGTCCCCCGCGGTGTATTTGGGGTTCTGCAGTCCGGTGGAGAACAGCGCTTGTCCCACGGCCTTCAGCATGACTGATCCAAACTGTCCACAGGGGAAAGCACAATGCCGACAAACTCTCAGAGGGACTCGTGAGGCCTCATGAAACCGATCGAAGGTCATGAAGGTCACCTGGTAGTCGCGAGACTAGTTATGTATTTAGACACATCGTCGCTTATAAAACGACGTTACGTGTACAGGCGACGTTAAAGTGTCAGATTCTGCTGTGACACGTCACCACTTCCGATTCAACACTGCAGCTAAAGTGTCAAAGTATCGAATAGAGGAAGAATTAAATGCCTAATTAAAGTTACCTGTGGAGGTGCAACAGCGTGTGGGTTTGTTTTCGTTTCTTCTCGTTACATAAACCGGAAATGGGATGTGCTGAGCGAGTTGGATTTCACAATAAGAGCTCGACTCTTTGATCGACACCACTGAGTAAAGAGGGACATAGAAAAGGACTTCAAACTTTCTTCCCGCGTGGTTATCATCATTTATATTATTGACTAGACCAAATAGGACCAGGCAATTGAAAGTTATTTCTGGGAAGAACATTTCCCATTTATTTACTACATTATAATTATTTACAGCATGAGGATCGATAACGAACTTTACAAAAACAAATAAGTAATTGGCAGAGTTTAAGAAAACAGTCGAGATGATATAAGGTGAGAGCACAAGGAGTAAAAACAACCTAAAACCAGGACACCTTTCCGGATGTGCAACACACACACACACACACACACACACACACAATAGATCATTTGAGTGGAAAAAAAACTGCCACACCTGTAACCGATATGAATGTCGAAGCGATGGTGGGGCTAAATCAGAACGTGAAAAACGTGTTTGTTGTATTGAAGCTTCAGCTACGGTTCTGCGGCTCGCAGTTGTAGAGCAAGGCAAGCGAGACTGTGTTTACATATATGGCTGCATAGTTTAAAACGTGTGTCTGTCTTTCTAGCGTCGTCCAAAGGGAAGGGGCGGAGCTGTACGGGGGACATGCGATCCAACGCGGGCACGGCGGCAGCAGCTTTTGTCGCCGTATTGTTCTGAGAAGCTGGTTGTTTACTATCCGTAGAGCCGCAGAGGGAGGTGGAAAGAGCAGAAAGACAAAGTGGTTTATCAAAAGTCCAAATGTTCCCACTGAAAATAGCAGCAAACAGCTCATCCGTTGAGCTCCAGAACTCCAGTTACAACCTGGTAATAATTTCTCTAAGCGACATAATGAGAGCCTTGGTTATAAACAGTTTACTAATTGATATTTAGGTGGATTAAAAAAAACAGGGATCAATAAAAGCTGAACTTTTATGACAGTCCTGACCTACGTATTGGTAGATGTATTATTTAGGCGTTATTTTATGGATCCCTCTTTTACTAGATATCAATTAATGTACCGTTTGATAACCTTTTCTGAGGCTCTAAATCCTCCACAATTTAGTGCATTATTTGTGTAGGCTGTAGCTGATGAAGCTGTGGGGCTCTGTGAGCGGTTCACTGCTGGTAATTCTGGTGGACGAAGGACAAAACATCATCTTTGGACAGTTTCTCATGGTCCATCCGTGTCTGAGAATCATGAACTATGACCCCATCCACCCAGGCCCAGAAGAGCCGCTCCGAGTGGCAAACACTGAGGAGGAAGAAAAACAAAGGATGAATTTCCATCATAATATCATCAATGCTTCTATTACACACACACATTTTCTATACCCGCCACTTAAAAAACGGTCAATTTCCTATTTATATTGTCCGAGTAATATTGAATTAATAAATGAAATATGTGCTGAGAAGATTGTACGTACTTGAAGGGGGCAGCAGAGTTGGGCGGCATTTCATATGTGGAGGTCTTTGTGGTCTTATTATAGAAGAACTTCATCTTAGAGTTCTTACTGTATGCCATCGTCCACGGCTCTAAGGGACAGAGAGAGAGGAGACTTAGACACCTTGCACATTTTTTAATTAAGCGGAAGTCACCTGAGTTTTGCCCCACGCACCCTTTGACATTATTAAAACAAGTTGAAGTTGCAAGACACATTTTAGCTCAAAACAAATCCGCACCATTGACCGTCTTAATGACGTAGAGGCCGGTGGGGAGGAAGTGTCGGTCATCTCGGCCGGTGTAGGACAGCCGGGGGACTCCGCCAGAACTCTTTGTCACTTTCATCTCGAGCCTGGAGGAGAGGAGAAAGTAGACCATCCTGAACATTAAGTACACCATTATTTAAAGTGTGGCCTCCTATTAAATAGATGATGTTGCTCATTGGTCGTCCTGTCGTACCTGACAAAGATTTTCTCCATTTCTTCCAACCTGTAAACCTCCTTCACTCTGTTTGGGAAAAGACAGGTGTTACGTTCTTCCAGACAATGTTTTAAGAGATGAAGGAATCACTCTGAATATCAAATTGTAACTTCAATTTACCATTAAACGTGCATCTATTCTCTATTCATGTAAACTGGAGGGTTCAAGTTTCTGCATCAGATCTGCATATTCAAAAGGATTAAAATCATTTAAATGAATACCTGATGGGGTTCATGTCTGGTCTGCTGGGTTTGGCCACCGCCTTCACAAACTTCTCCGCCATCTGGATCCTGGACATTCAATGGGCATTATTTACGGAACTAGAGAAAACCGGTTTTAAAAGTACGTTGTGTTACAATACGTGTCAATTTGTGTTTATGCTTTAGAGTGAGGTGATTTTGAAGGTGACGTTGTCCTACCTTTGGTTGAAGTGCTGATCTCTTACATCGGTGCCATTCAGCACCAGTGCATCCATAACGTGAACCGCGTTGATTCTGCGCTGAGCTTTGCCCTGAGGACCAAATAAACAATCAAATAAATGCCTTCATACATCTAAAACCATAATCACGAGCATCACACAAAATGTGCTTATTCAGGTGTATAAGAAAAAAAAAAGCACAACACGCAACTAAATTACAAATCATCTCAGAATTAAAAGAAAGCTTAAAGTTTTCGGGACTCCAGCTCACTTATCACGTCATCGGTGCCCCTCTCACCTCGCCTTTCAGCTCTTGGACAATCTCCACACTTAGAAGTGTGTCTCTCGGCAGCTCGAGCTTGAAGCTTTCCAGTTTCTTCCAGCGCGGAGGCATCTTCCCATCCCACGTGTATATCTGAGACTTCTGCACGCCAAGGAGGAATGGAGAGAACCAATATATAAAAACCTTCAATCACATGCTTTTTAAAAAGGTCACAACGTTGCATCGAAATATAAAAAAACAAAACATGAGCGGTAACAGAAAAAACATTACTGTGTGTAATGACGCATATAGAATAGGACCCGCAAATTCATTTTAAATACGGAAAACCTTGAAAAAAAAATACAAGCTGAAGAACTTAATTTTGTCTTTTGTGCTTCTTGGTGACTCACCCCAAGAGATAATAGGAAGATTTGCTCCCCACCTCCCACAATGCACCTGTGGTCCAGGATATGGCGCAGCTTCTCGAGTGTAGTGGAGTTAAGAGGTGTGAGCTTGCTCTGGAACGACTCCACTTCAGAGTTCTGAGGTGCAACAAAAAGTACAGTGACAGCAGAAAGAAAGATATGGAGACGAGTGTTTGCTAATACTCAAGAGGAGTGTATGACCTTTGTTTTAAAATCACAAAAACCTCAACATTTGGGAAATAATGTTATGGATTGTGATTTTATTTTCATTATTAACAAATGGAATTCTCTGACAAAACATATGTTCATCTGCACAGCCTTATTCCCAGTACGGATTCTTAAACCCAAGATTTATTTACGAACCTTAATCAGTTTGTGGAATTTAGACTTTGGGTCTGAGGAGGCCGGAGTGACCCTGGCCATGTCCGGGACCTGTTAGTGGAACAGCACAGAAACTAAATGCTTCATTCAACAAACCTTCCATTAGTTCTGTTTTGTTCCCATTTCAAATCGACTCAATGCATCCCAGTTTCTTAACTCACCCCCCACAGTTTCAGACACTCCTTTCTGATGTCTGCTTGCTTTGCCTCCATGAGGGTTCTGGAGAAACAAAGGTCATTCAGTCAGCCGTAAACATAAACGCCATCAGTCACGGCTGCACTGCGGAGGGGACGTAGAGGACGAGGGTCTGCTCATAGACAAGTACACAAAAGGTCACTCACGGGTCGACGACAAAGGCGTGGATCTTAGCCAGGGCTTTGATCTGGACTACACACAGGCTGCAATGAGAGGCAACAAGAGTTCTTTTAGCCACTCATTTGGAAACGCTAGGACACGTTACATTGTGGATAGTGTGTGTTTTTACCTCTCGTTGGAGTTGACCATAAACTGGTAGAAGTCAAGGTCTTCTTTGATGATGCTCAGGGGAACCACGTCGGTGACGTCTCTGTCTGTGTCCCTCAGCTGGTTCAGTTTCAGGTTGACTCTGAACATGTACTCCCTGACGGCTTCCGAACCGGGCTTCAGTCCGCGACACACTACGTACCTGCATCAACAGGCGCAGCAGAGACACGGTCTCATTTACATCACATTGACAAGTTTTAATAAAATGTCCCAGTTATCCAAAGCGTGAAAAGATATTTTCTAAAAGTGAGATCAGAGGACTTATGTGAGGGAACATGCTGATTACGAAATCAAAAGTCTTTTCCCGATAGTATTTATATTGACTTATAATGTACGAAAAGTCCCTCATACCTCTCAGAGTTGGCCGGCCTGCTGGTGACGGGCTTGAAGAGAGAGATTCTTTCGAAGCAGAGATAGAGCAGGTACACACAACCCACACTGAAGGGAGTGAAGAGGTCAAACGTCTTACAGACAAAGTGACCACCTTGAAGAGAAAAAATAAAACTGTTTAAAAAGGGAAATATTTGCCACGTCGATTAAAGCATAAATTCCTCGGTGCGTGCTACAATGCAAGGAAGAACTACAGGATATTTCAGTTGGGATTTTAGTCTCTCTATGGCAGAGATCTTTAAGGCGTGATGTCTATGCACGACAAATTGTTAACTGAAAAAACACGTCTTTTTTTTTGCTGATGGTATTCGTATTTACTAGCGGCAGTGTGAGGAAGCCGAAGCTGCGTCAGCTGTGCTAAAGGATGTGGCTGGTACACGCAGGCACTGCTGCCACGGCTTGGTCACGTAGCACCCACTGAGGAATTAAGATAAGATGCATATATGAACAGGCAACTCATCCATCCATGCACATGTATACACAAACCTGTCCTGAGGGAAGAAAGGGCCGTGAGGAACTGACAGAGCAGCAGCTGTTTGCTCAGGATCTCCTGGATGTTTTCCTGGCCTTCAACAGAGAAACCCTAGCAAAGGAAGTCATCTCCGTTCAACTCCCCGAGAGCAAGAGCAGGAATATGTGACCTAACGTTCTGTTCGACGATGAGAGCAGTGGCTCACAAAAACATTCTCCGCGGTTTAAAGTACGTAGAAACAATCTCACCCCGTCCGCCATGAGGATGTGCAGTCCTCGTCTTTCTGTGCTCTCCTGGACAAAGTTTCGGAAGGCCGTGATGTTTTCCGGCCGGGTGATGTCTCCGTCCCCATCCACCCCTCCCTCACCTGGGGACAAACAGGCAAAAGGTCATTGCCGCCCACTGAATCATTCATCGCCCCGAGACGTGACCAGGTTCCGCTCTCCTGGGCGGGGACGTGCTCGTACCGTAGTAAGGCTCAAACAGCTCACTCGGCGCTGCAAAGAAATCTTCCAGTTTGAAGTCACAAGGCCCTTTCAGCGTCATGCCGAACCCTTTGGCATGCCAACGCCTCCGCCACAGTATGTACTCCGAGAAGCCGCCGGGCCCCGCGCAGACGTCGCCGAAGTACAGCAGTTCCCCCTCGCGGTCCTTTGTCAGAGGTTTCTACACAGCGAGAGAGCCTCGTCTCAGCATGTGTTCATAATGAGCACCTCGACGCATATCAGCTGCTACTTTGACCGACTCACTCACCCCTTGGGAGTCCTTTGGGTTGGTGAACATTTGGTCGAAGCAATGATCGATGTTGGACATTTTCATCGCTGCTCTGAATGCAGAAGGAGCATCACACAGTGTGTAATTGTGTTTAAAGGGTCGGCACACAACAGGGCTACAATCCACGATAAATATTGATTATCACAGAATTTATAATACATACAGATCACATATAAAAGTATGTTGAAAATATTAAAATTTGCAAAAGATATTAAGTGAGATCTATCCTCAAAGAAGCAAATTACTCATACAATGTGATTGTTTACTAATACGATTGGTAACTGACCTGTTGAGGAAAATACCTCCTCTGATGGTCTCGTACGGGTTGGAACGTGTCCGTGCTCTCCTCATCTCCTCGCCTTCCAGGTTGTCAAAGACTGTCTGAACATCAATCGGAAACAACGGTTAACACAAAGAAAAGTCCATTGTGTTCTCATTCAGCACAATCCAGGGATCATCGGATGTAACAGCATTAGACTAAATAAATAAGAATCCATACAAAGATGTCATGAACTAATCCTTGTTGTGTAGTATGCGGGTCCTTGTGTAGACACCACATTGAGCATCTTGAAGAGTTATTTTTTGTGCATTGTTTAAGCTATTAAGTAATTTAACGTGAAACTCACACACACAATTAACATCAAGTACCAGGGTTGTCTTTCTGAAACTGACCATTCACTGTAAATGCCTTCTATCTAAGTTAGATGTATACCACTGAACTATTAAGATTATGTTATTTTCAGTGCCAGATAAAAAAGGGAGTAAAATATGTCATAACTCACCTTGCACCTTAGTAAAGTGTGTAGGAGGTCTTCAGTGCAAAACTCGGTCTCATCCTCAATCTTAAGTTTTCTCTGGAAGGAATCAAAATAAGACTTCAAAAAACAAAATGTGTGCGTTTGAGGCAAAAAGCTGGGCCCACGGAGAACATTGTACATAATTTAACTCTGCGTGTATCTTGAGGATTTGTATTTACCGCTCCAACTTTCATCCAGTCCCTCAGCTCATCTGAATCTGGTGTCTCTGTGGTGCATTCCGGGAACCAGTCTACTTTCTGTGCAGCAGTGGGCTGTACAGACAAACAGAAAAGGAGGACAAAAAAAAACGTATAATCACACACACACACCCCTGAACACCATCAGCTTGATATTCTGATGTCTTCATTGTAATGTTAATTATTTAATGTGCTTTGTTCAATGTATTATTCTTATTCTAGCGTGCATTTTGACCACGCTGCAGGCTGATTCGGCACTTGCCAATTAAATGTGATTTGATGGTTCAACAATAAATATTTCACATAGTTCACATAAACCATCAGTGAAAACATCTCATGGTGATTATTTTCATTTGTGTACCTCCGGTTCATCGCGCCAGTCAACATTGAGCTCCCCCTGGAAGCCCTGCAGAGTGAGACCAAGACCCCTTCTTCCTCGCTGGTTGGAGGCCTCCACGATCTCTTTGCGTCCCTGGCCAAACTTCCCCAGTCCTTCACCCTCACGGAAGCCCATCTTGGCCTAAATGTATGAAATGCAGAAAATAGAAAATCCTGATTGTACTGAATAAGCAATGTGTGCAACTTCAAATTCCGCCAACAGATTAATACCCAGTGTGAGTCGGGGTTTCAATATATTACCATGAGCTTCTGTGACACACTGTTGTACATAGAGAAATTGGAGGAGGCCTGTGTGGGGTCATTGTCTTGGTCATCGCAGGATGATATGGAGGGCATGGAAAATCCTGGCCTCTGATCATCCTGGTCACTGAGGGAATCATTTTGGCTGGAGTCTAGAAAGGAAAAAAAACAGATACACACATACAAACCATTTAAAAAATATATAGGAGCGGATAAACCAACGTAAACAAACACACTTTTTATGGTCCCCTCTGAGGTTTGACAATACTCAATAGAGAACTAAACCCTTTTTGAGGTGGCAAATCACAGCTCTACTAACAGTTTTGTATTTATGTTTATATACCTTGTCTGGATAATTGAGACTCCTCATCTGAGCTGCTGTCCTCACAAACCCTCTTCGTCCCCTGCACCACCGTCAGCGGTGCTTCGGCTCTCCTCTTCATTATGGCTGGCAGCAGAAAGGACAATACAAATGTTATACGACGGCTGATGGATGAGGTGCGTTAGCGCTCAAAGGGCAATTTTAAACATTTCAAAAGCTAAAGCTCTAAAAATAGAAGAAAAAAAACAAAAAAAAATTAAGGCATGAAATGAAACGAGCAACTGACTCTGACTTTATTAAACAACAGCAACTATGACAATTAATGCGTGTAGGCGGTGCAGGAGATTAAACCATTACTCGACTGATTAATGGTTACCGCGTGCATTTGACATTATCTTTGACCTTTGCTTACCAAAGAGATAACATGGACACCTGGTGCACGGCAATACGTGTCAATTGGTTACTTCCTTACACACGCATGCCCGATGAGCAGATTATATTAAGTACAAATAGTTCCAACAGTGACCAACAACAGCAGTCGACTGTCTGCTCCGCTCACAGTTTGGTTTAAATCAAGCAGAGTTAGCTTGGTTCTTTTCGTTTTTTTGGGATAGAAAAAAGTAGAAACCCCCGAGTTGGAAGTAATGGCAGCACATTCCTATAACAACGTTATATTATCAACAAGTCTCGCTTGGTTAATTTGGGACGTCCAACGTTATATTTCGCGCTTCCGCGTATTCAAGCTAGATTTAAAAAGGCTTTAACTGTGGCTGTTCAACCTCACATACAACACAAGCTACGTCCCGATTCCTCCAAGCTGCCAGAAGGAGACAAATATAATGTATTAACGTCACCTATCGGAAAGGGAACAAGTCACTGCAAATACGAAGTTACCTCTGTGGGTGTGTAGTAGTTAGCAGCATTCAGCTAAGTTTAGTTAAAGTCGGTCCATACCGCCCTCCAAGGAATACTATTGCAGGAAAACAACACAGCTGAAGTAAACGGGGTTTGTCTGCTTCGTGTCAGTGTGGGTGTTCTCGGTGTTTTCTGTGAAACGAAACTGCGCAGCTGTAGCATCGTTAGCTGTTAAGCTAGCTGAATTAGCCAGCTTGTTTTTTTATTTTTTTACCAGCTCAAACGAAACACTCACTTCTGTGGCCACACAGCAGCGACAAAACGTCAATTCCGCATATATTTCGAGCTTTCCTCGTTGGACTTGTATTTGCATGGAAACTTTTGTTACAAATACACGTTGTTGTGAGTTTACATTAGCCCGCGTTCTGCTTTTAGAGCTTTCAGGGGTCCTTTCTGTGTCGATGCCCCGCAGTGATGATGCGCCCGATACAACGACTGTCTAAACATGTGCCTGTGTGTGTTTTTGTTTAGTTATTGCCACATATTATTTATCTATTTAACTCATTCATGTCATTTAGTTCCCCGCTTTTTACTTAACTTTTTTATTTGGGATTTTACATGAAATTTAATGTAACATACCAAGGCAATTTTCTTGTATTGTTGATGAAATGCAAAGATACAGAAGAAATATTAATGAAAGAGAAGCAACTTCATGCTATATGACCGTGTTGCGATTGAAAAAGGCTACTTACACAATAAAAACACATGGTCTCCACTGAAGCTGTTATATCTATATCTATATATTAAAGCTTACATTTACTGTCATCACAGTTAAACTGATGACAAAACAAATGACAGTTTAGATTTTTGTGTGCCTGAAAGATATATCCCCGGCACTCATTTTTGAAAACCTTGATTTGTGTCATCTTTTGTGTGTGTGATTAAGTGATTGTATATTCCTTTAATGAGTCTCACATGTCCGTACCATTCGGTTAATCCGTTCTTGGCATGTGAGCTAAGGGATCCTGAGATACCCATAAAAACAACTATTAGGCTAGTCGCAGTAGTACTTCGCAATGGTTCATGAAAATAGGCCTCTGCTTTCCTGTGAGAGAGAAAGGCATTGACACACACGTCAGCATAACCTCTATGGCTCCGGACTGTCTGTACAGTGGGGTAAATCGGTTTTTGCCCACAGGCTAAATTAATCACATTCTCTGTGTGTTTTACAAAATGTGAGCGCTGAGCCTGGTTCAGTAGATCCAATAGGATGATTAAGGTTCAGGGCTCATCCCTTTGTGATGCAGCTTGAAGCGAAGCTGTCAGTGCATTGCATGCCATCATTGATGATACTGTTAAATCCTTCTCAGAAGACAGCGTCACTACCCTGAACTGCTGACCCCAAAGAGACAACAAGAGGAACCACCTGCAATCTGCCTCCTTTTGGCATTTTCAGAATACTAGAAAAAAATCTATTTTAAAAGTGGCTGTGGCTTAATTTACACACATTTACCAATATCTTTTAATTGTAATATGTTGTTTTGACAAAACTCACATGCATTCATCTCTTAAGAAGGTGATACTTTGCTTGATTTGTTTGTTTGCTTTGCCTGTTGACACACATTTCTTTTTTCAATGCTATTTGGCATTTTAAATTGACCTAAATCCTAACCTGCCTCCCAGCAGACGTCATTGCATCGTTTCTTTTGCCATCCCTTGATTCGGTTGTGTGCTTCTTCCCAACATAATTGGTTGACAATGGATTAAGAGCATCACAGGTACATTAATCCACCAGAACTGCTGCTGCTGCTTCGTTAATCCTCAACTGACACAAGTGCAAGGACACACAAAAACCCACACAAAAACACAATCCAACACCATGTGACCAGCTTATGCAATGAAACCAAGGCTTTATAAACCACCTGTAGGGACTGCTGGCCTCTCTTGTGGGAGATTGTCACGGTGCAGGTGTGTGTTTCTGAGAAAGGGAGCGAGGAGTGTGTTTCGAGGCACGGGGGAGATCTGCTGACACACTCGGCCTGGCGGAGAGAGAGACGCAGACGGCTTCACAGAGTTAAAGTTGCTTAGCAGACAGTCCTGAGGGCTGCTTGCAGAGGGTTCTCCTGTGGTCTCGGCGGTGAAGTGCTGGAGAGAACAACAACAACAATGTTTTTCCGCATCCCTCGACTGACCCCTGGATATATAAGATACCTGCAGGTGCGTACAATGCTTCAAGGCAATTCCTCTGCTTTTGATAGATGACTGATTATGACTGATTCTTGGACATCAGCGGACCTCTGGAGCAAATTTCATTAGAGCTTCCAACAACTGTGTGCATCTAAATCCAGCACATTTCCCCTTCTATGCTGCTTCAGTAAAACGGGGTGTAAAAAATCATATATTTATTCCTGAAGGAAAAGTCAAGATAAATAGAAAAGAGATTCGCATTGAATTGTCACTGCTCTAAGCGCTTGTTTTAAACCGATGGGACTGACTCATCATTGCACACAAAGTGCCCATTTGTGTGAGTGTGCATTTGCAGGATTTAGAATAGAGGATTGCGGCAGCCTGCCTTTAAATGGATTTGAATCAGAGATGCACTTAGCTCCTCAGCTAGAGCCGAATGCCATTTAACTGGATCTCCAGAGGAATAGCATGAGATCCGTGTTCCTGAGTATCTCAGAGACCCCGCAACTGGATTTAGGAACATACAGCGTGGCTTGTGCCTGTTTTAAAGACGGACCGTGTCAAACCTCATCATCTGTGTCTCAGATAGGTTTACGTCAGATTATTCATCGTCATCCTACATGGATGTGGTGACCAACTGCTCTCTCTTTCAGACTCAGGCAGCTCAGACGGTGGTGCAGAACCGCGAGGGCGCCGTGATGGCGCGGATGGCTACCCTGCTGGGTTTCATGGGGATCGGCGTGTCCGGCTACAGCTCCCGCCAACTCACACTGAACTACAAGCCCGCCAGCCACCTCTTTAGATAAGGCGGATGGAGGACAAGGACGTGTACATGCACACACACACACACACACACACACACACACACACACACACACACACACACACGCACATCTTTTGGTTAAAGTTTGACATTTTGGGGAAAATGAACCGCCGGAGAACTGTGGGAAGTTAAACTGTGGGAAAAAACTCTTAACTCTGTTTGAAATATCAAGAAAGCAAACAGGCGTGTTGCCCAAAATGTCCTATTTTTAAATAAAAAGCAATATGAAAGTACTAACAATATTGAAAGAAGTGAAACCAACAGTTTTTATATTAATGTTTTTAATTTATCTTCCGTGCATTATTGCTAATAATCCCCTCAGTGTGGTTCATGTTCAGTGTCATCCTGGTTCTGGATTTTATTCTTGAGATTTCTTTGCTTGCGATGAACAGATTGTTGCCTTAAGGCTTCGTATGTGCAGTAAAAAAATACATTTTGTTATTTAAAACTGCCAGTCCTTTTAAGCTATAAGTGCAGTTATTTTCTTGTGACGCGGTGGAACAGAAAGGCAGCTTTTGATGTTACTGATGACTTTGTTTGACATTATACATGAACCACAATTCCTCCCTCGAGTCCCTCGTCTTATCGTGACAGCATCCCTTCAGACTTCCCGATTTAAATGACTTCCTTCAAATGCATCAATGGTCTTTGATGCAATGAATTTCTTTCAAAGTTGTCATTCTTTTAATCACCATTATTCCTCTGGCACTTTGCTCTGCCTGGATTTTTAGGGAGAAATCAGCAGCAGCTTTAACTTTAACTAAAGGCCTTTATGATTCAGGCAGATTTCACTCCTGATTCTGAAATCGACAACATGAGTTTCTCTGTTATCTCTCTCCTCTTTGTGAGCATCAGAGGAAACCGTCAGGAATTAATCCCCGTCTGTTTGGCTTCCCTCAACTCCTACACATACACAGTTTTTAATCATCATTTTTAATCAGCAACAGAAACATAGGAACATGGGGGGCGGCACGGTGGCGTGGTGGTTTGCACTGTTGCCTCACAGCAAGAAGGTCCTGGATTCCAGTGGCCTTTCTGTGTGGAGTCTGCATGTTCTCCCCGTGTCTGCGTGGGTTCTCTCCGGGTTCTCCGGCTTCCTCCCACAGTCCAAAGACATGCTCTGGGGATCAGGTTAATTGGGGACTTTAAATTGCCCGTAGATGTGTGAATGTGACTGCGATCTGCTGGCGACCAGTCCAGGATGAACCCCGTCTATGGCCCGAAGTTGGCTGGGATGGACTCCAGCCCCCCTGCGACCCTGTGTGCAGGATAAGCGGTTTGACAACAGTGTTACCGCTCGATGTGTGAACAATGCTACTTTGCACTTTTCTTTTGTACACATCTTGTACATAATCACGTACGTGACACTTTAACGCTGAATGAAATGAGTCGAACGTGACGTTGGGTGCTACCAGCCTGTGTTGTGAGCTGGACTGGGTGACATCTAGCGGGATTGACGCACTGCGGTGTCGTTGTCAGGCAGAGGAACCGGGACAGCCACCCTGGATCCCGCCTGAACCAACATGTGAATCCCCCCCGGATCTCAACCTTTTGCACCCCACCGTCAGACGAGATGAATGTGAATGACCTGCGGTCTCTTAACATAGGTAGACTTTTTGGACCGTGTATCTCTTCTGCACAATGTGTTGTGGTGGAATGGATGTGACTCTGACAGCGTAAGAATGTATGTAGGGAGCTTATCAATAGTTTGAATATGTAGGAACAGATTGGCATGTTAACCGGTCACACGGCGTGTGCCGCTGAGACAGTGATCCCTCTCAGATCCTCTTACGATACGATGTCTTTTTTGGACCAGCTTAGGCTCACATGTGAGAAGGGTCACTAACCCTGAAATGGAGACACGTAACAGAGTGACAAAGCAAGAAGCCTAGTTATTTTTGGGGGGTAATTTTGTGCTGTAAATTAATATCGTAGAATAACGTAAAATTGTCTTTTGTATTTCTTGTGGGTTTTGTAAGGAGTTAAATTAGGCTTGTGTCCAATGGGGATCAGATCGAGTGTTAGATACATTTTAGTATTCAAGTATTATGTTTCCCGAAGTGGTTTAAAGCATTACAAATGCACAACGAAGCACCCGTGAACTTGCATTCTTTTGTACTATTTAATCACTCTGTATAAAGAATAAATCAAAAGATTGTAAAGAACTTGGAGGATTTGTATGTGTCTCTTGTGGATTCCTTAAGAACTCGGTGAAGACAAAAGGAAAAATTACTTCCTTCGTGCTCTAGATGTCAGCATAGATTTTCTCAGTCATTTGCTCACAATGAAATCGCGAGTGAGTTTTACTTATTCATTCTTTGCTTGGATGTCCAAATGTCCATAATGTCATTTGATTTGACTCTAAACAAAATAAAACTCTTGCTTATTCTGCGACAATCAGTCCAAAGCTGTTTTGATGTCCAAAGCAAAATTATGTCAAACTTTAATGCATCGACACAATGCTCTAGTGGTGCGTAAACCGCCACTTTTTCTTTCGCTAAAGGTTGTTGTTTGTCGCTCTACACGTGGATTTGTACAGTGACTTTTGTGCTGAATCACCTTCTCCCGCTCCAGGCACGTTGATCCCCCCGCCAGACGGTCACCTTCCGCGTTGCAGGTCGAGCTCAAGGCTAAGACGCAACGGTTTGACCCAGTTGTCGATTTAAGCTGCTTTATGAAACGAGCCCAAATGAGCAGGTGCCTCCTCAGTCAGAACAGGATTTTAGGGTTTAGCTTCACAGAGAAAATGTGTGTGGACAAACTGTTAATCCGAGCACCGACAGTGTTTAACATGAGTTTGACGAACAGTTGGAAACATTACAAACATCCCTTTGGTTTCCTTTAGCAGTGGGAAACTCACCTGTGTGACTGGGATTTTATCATCAGGTTTCTAGCCTGAGGGAGGAAAAGGAATCAGGATTCACACGTCCAGCACATCGCCAAGCTCTTAATGCACACACACACACACATACAGACACATACATGCACAAAGACAGAGGCCCACTGTGAATCTGAATCAGTGACTTCTCCTCAGGAAGCTCTTGTTACAGCCGCTCTTGCACTGCCCACAACAAAGAGCTGAATGTCTTTAGTGCCAGAGAGATGGATGAGAACGAGTGACGTACCCACAAGTTCTTTTCAACATTTAGAAGCTGTGTACACGTCCATAGTTATATGTATATACACGTGTTTGTTCATGCATTGTATGACTCACTTGTGTTACCAGTGTCACTTAGATTCTGATCTTACAGGAATGTTTTGGAAGGTGTTTAAAGCAAATGACAACGGATTAATTTCCAATAACTGAGACAGAGTTAAAAGCAAGCTGGGAAGCAACGTTAACACAGCAAAATAAGCAGTTTGTTTAAGTGTCAGTGAGCCCTTTTTAATGGCAGTGGATTTGCAAACTGGAGCTCAAATATAGCCGAGTATCAAGTGAACACCTTTGTGAAGTGTCCTAGAGCAAGACACAAAATCCATCTGTGTTTGACCTTTGACCTCGTTATAAAAGAGAATACTCTTAGGGGTCAAACAATGTGAATTTACAGCTAAAGATTATTTCAGAGGCAGATTAGCTTATCGTCTGTGCTTTTTACGTCCATCAATAAATCATCATCGACTTCAACAGGGGGCTCAAAGTCATGAACTATTAAATCATCATCACCTGAATCTACAGATTCTTTCTGTTGCAAATACTTGTTTCACTGGCTGGTGTTTCATTTGCAGTTTTGTTTGACTTTCAGCATGCTCACAGCTTGCATTCGCTGCAGCAGGCAGCTATTTCCAGGGAAAAAAGCTTTGATTAACCCAGTCAAACAGCTGGTGAGCACAGTGGGAGCATTAAGAGGTTAAAGAGCCAGAGATTTCCCCCCGGGAGTTGGTGCAAACAAATAACGGAGGAAGGAATATTGGATTTGCCTCGACACAAACATAACTGCAACGTGATTGATTGTGTTGCTTTGTAAATGCTGAATGTGTGAATAAGGAACTAGTTGTGAACAAGTCAGGCACCATCACCTCAAAGGTTGTCGGTTTTATGTTGAGGTTTTGTTCAAGACTTGTTTCTGCTGCCGCCAAGTGGCGAGCTAAGTTATTGCAGGTCTGTGTACTTTCCTTAGTAGATTTCATCTGTCCATTTTCCAACAGAGCAGCTTTAAGCAAGTTTTAAGTTCAGGTCATTGATGATTCTCCCTCAAAAGAACTCTAATATTTGCTTAAATTCCTGTACAAACATGTTAAACGGTTTAGGGGCAATCAATACTACAAGCTTTCTACGACGACCGATCAACTCACTCAACAGTTTACCTTAAGCTTTCTTCCCTGATGCTATTATGTAGATTTACAACGTAAATAAAAACAATGAATTTAAGTGAAATTCAAGACATTCTACAATGCTCGTTGATCAAACTCTTTGAGAAGATCAGCATGCTCAGCGAAACATGAAAGTAATTCGAATGCCAAAACTGTTCAGAACAACTGTTCAGCAAAGCTACAGTGGAGTCTCAAAGGAACGTCTTTGAGAGTTGGCCTGTGAACATAATTAAAGCTTTAATCTCTGTTCTTGGCTCACACGTTTTGACAGTCCCCGGGGTTTGTGCAAGAGAACCCTGTGACCGCGGAATCAGATAGTTGGTGAGTCACGGTTAACCTCAGCTGACTCCTTCAGTTTGCTGAGTAACCTCAATAGGACTGAACTAAGTGGGGGGGAAAAAAATCTCTTTTAGGGTGAATATTGACGGACTATGAATGCAAAGTGGGGTGCACAGACTTATGTAACAAGCTGAGACTGCATTGTGGCTTTTGGCTTTTCAATGCTATGACTTCAGACCTGCACTAAGAAGGTGAGCCAACTGCCCCAATGAAGTTACAACTACATCGCCTGTGTGAATGGGAGACATTAGAGGCAGGTGGGATTGTCCCAGCTGTGTCCCACTAGGACTGTGAGACCTGATCCGCTGTCTCAACATTAAGAACATCTGATGTAGAATTAATTCATTCTGTAAAATAACACAATCATTTTATATTCTTCTTCTTTTCAAAGCAGTGTGAAGGATATCAGTTTGTCATCCCATATCTGAAGGTTTTGACAACGTGGGGGGATTTCTAGTTCGTATAAAACGGTCATAGTAGAGAAAATGCAATCAAGGCGATTGATCGGGGACATACATATTGACAAACTTAAGTGAATTGAACTGTGAATAACCAATGCACTGATACGGTGGGAATACCCGTCCCAGAAAGCGCGCTCAAATGGACAGTTGACCCACTGATGATCTCAGAGGTGAAAGGGCAACGACCTGCCTGATGACAAATGATTGACACCTTTTGCGGTAACAGCTGGTCATGGCTCGTGTCAGCTGGTGCTAATGAAGAGACCAGACAAGCAATTCATTTGCAACAATGCTGTTGTGTTTTAACACATCTAACGATCCACCCACTTTCTTTACTGTACAATGTGCACATTGAAATGGAGATTTGCAAACCTTTAAAATCAGGTGAGTAGTCTCAGCCTGCACTAGACTGTGGCTATTTATAGAGGTCAGCCCACCAGCATAATGTGTCATTTGTTTCCCTTAGCTTAAGAGAGAGAGAGAGAGAGAGAGAGAGAGAGAGACTACTCCAAACTGAAAGAAGTTATTACTGCAATTCCGAGCTATGGGTTAAACAAATAGTCTTAATAAATATGAACTGCCTTTTAAAAGAAGATAAGCTGAAAAAACAAACCATCCAGTTTTCTTGTGTGCTAAGGACATCGGGAGCTGAAGAAGCTGAAACGATTGTGGAGATAACAGATATCTTTTTGGCCATATAATCACCAGCTGATATTCCACGCATTGATTGATAATGATTTGATTTGAACAAGCACATTTTGTTTATGTGGTCATGTCACACACATATGAGGTCCTACTTTTCCTCTTAATGTTCCAAGGCCTCTCGATTTAACATCACTAACGCGATATGTGCCTAATAAGTGCCTGAAGTTACATCTATCTTGACCAGCAACATTCATGGCTGACATTGTGATTTAGTAATTTCAATCCAATAACATTCACTATAATAATATGGCATCAGTGTTCTGCTGCGTTTAAGTACTTATATTTTGGAAGTACATTCTGGAGTAAAGGAGCGGAGTTCTTCTTACACAGAATAGATTATCTCTCAATATGCCATTCAAAAACAACACGGGTTCATCTATTTATACAAATCAACTCCAAACTTCCAAACATTTCTTTATTTTTTCCACACTTTCAGAGTACAATAACGTGACAACATGAATGCGAGGCTCAACGCTTCCTTCCTCCTCGGCAACTTTATAGGCGACGGTGCGATCGCGGGGCGGGGCGACGGTCGCGGGTCCAGGTGGTCGAGCGTGCGTAAAAACGCATCAAACACACGCAGAGGGCTCGCGGAATGGTGAGCGTCATGACAAAAATCCCCCCCGGATCCCGGCAGTCCCATCGAGAAATAAGCTGTTTTCAGCGAAAGCCTCTTGGATAATTTTTTTGTTTTTTCAGCAGGAAAAACGACCAAAGGAGGAGAACGCGGTGCGGTTGTGCGTCGTTGCGGTCTCTCTGCGAAACAGCTCAAGGGGGCAACTTCGGACTTTTGGCCAAAGGAGGTGACCCATAAAACCTGATCAAGGCGGCTTGTCTCGGCGACAAGAGGAGATATGTTCAAAAAAAGCAAGAGTAAAGTGCTGGTGGATTACGCGTCAGAGGAAGAGGACATGTCCTGGCGCTATCATCACTCCTACAAGGTAAGCAGACGGACCGCTAACAATCACAGGCAATTGAGTTCGGTTTCTTTCTGTCTTTCCTTAAACAACAGGGTTAAAGTGGCAAAATGGTAAAGTACTGGAGTTATTACACTTAATAAGGGCGCCGTTCAGCACGTCGGGTTTGAATTAGTAACTAACATCAGTCTGTAGGCCCATTAAACAGGAATATAAAGTCAAAGCATTTGCATCTATTTGGCTTGAATAGAGTTCAAAGATCAGATTTTGGATTGACGGAATGCACTTGTCTTGGGAGAAAGAGAATAAATGCCAATATATCCACACACAAAAACACTTATTTTGTACAAATTCATATTTGAAATAAAGTAAAGGCCAAAAGCACCCAGCAGTACTGTCTCATTTAAAAACGGCTACCAGACATGTTTATTTATCCTGCTTGGTAAAATAATGTTCTTTTATGAATCACATGTCAATTGTGCCACGCTTGAATTAGTAAAACTTCATATTAACAAACCTATTTGCCATGTACTGAATGTCTGAATGCATTATTAGGCATTTGGTAGGATCCACCAACAGCATTTCTCATCCGTTGTTGTGACGATGTTGAGTTCTGTGACCCTTGGCTGGGTTTTTATTGGGCGCCCTTAACTTCCACCCTGGGAACCGACACATGTGACCCGTACCCCAGAAGAGATGATTTGAGTTCAGCCGGCGACATTGGAATTACTTCGGATGATGAGAGCCGATTCCCTGCGAACGTCATCAGGGAGGTCTCCGAGTCACCGTGGTGTTTTAATACACGCCGTGGGTCAGAGGTCGGATCATAAAATGCTGTAAACACAGAGAAGAGCCAGATCCAGCCAAGCTGTGATACAGGATGACGTGAGGATAAAGAGTTATGATAACACAGTCTGGACATGCAGGCTGAGCTCTTTCCAAGCACCGGCTGATGATGAGGGAAACGGAGGCGGTGATATTCATTATCTGGACCTTTATGTCTCTATCACGTTGCTTGAGTATTTTAGCCTCTTTTAAATTCTTCAGGAGTCAAAAGAAAGCTTAAAAAAAAGGAAAGTCTGGGGCTGTCTTCTTACAAATTGAATTACTTTCACTATCTTATTTTCTTTATAAATCAAAGCTCTTTTTTGGTCTGTGACATGTCCGAAAATAATGAATAAATAGCTTAACTTGTTTTGAAACTACTGTCCAAGTAGTAGTTTTTCTCTTCATCCAAAACTCGTATTATATCATTGCTCGCGTTTTTCTTTCCATCTCTACCTGCTGCAGCCACAGGTTTCCCACGTCCGAGCTCCTTCAACTGAGTCATGATATTGGAACGCCCTCACAGGCGGAGGACAAGCCAGCCTACAGGGATAAAACACTCTACAGCGACCTCAGCCGGACAACGAGGGGAGAGCGTGAAGGTTTTCTGTTTCCTGTGGTTTGGAATTTACCCTCTGGTCAAAAATGACCTTTTCCAAAATAAAAAAAAATCCCTTTCGTGTTAACAATCAACACGTTGACACCATTCAATTCTGCAAGTGAGACAGAGCGACAGCCGGAGCCACTCTGCCCTGTCGGGGCACCAGAGACATGTGTTGTGTTGACAGCTACTTTCTGAGTGAGTGACAGCTTCTTAATTTGCCTGGGGAGTAAGGGTCATGAGAGGGGCACTTCCCTGTAGATTAGATTTCACACACTTCCCGTCCACCTGAACTGACACGTTTTGGTACAAACCGTTAGGTGGTTTGTATCTTGTTGTGCATCTTTGTTGGTTTCTACGTCGTTCGTGTTGATGCATTCGTCAAGGTTTTGTGCTTAAAGTCTGATTCTTACTGAGGGCATTGAATCTACGTTATATATTGTCAGATATTACCTGAGATGTGTAATATTTGGTTTTAACAGGGAAGGGACGTTCAACTGAATATCCACTTCATACTGCAGAAACTTACTTTTCAGAGTCTGGAACAGTATAGTGGCTATATATAATTCATGACAGGAAGAG